TACCAACTTTCTTTGTTACATTTTCTTTCATTATCCACTCAATATTTCTGTACTTTTATCACCATTCAGTCATTGTTTATTCCTTTCTTCCTCTCCTTACTCAATCTCCTCCTTTCAATTCTCCTTTTATGTCTTTTTTTTATATCATTCTGTTTCTCACAGCAGATGAAATAACACTCAGTGTTTAGGTGATTCATCAGAGAAATTCCCCGCTAATGTCAGGTTTTGTGGTTAACCTTGGCTGCCTCTGTGTTTGTTTAGTGAGAATGAAAGAGAAAATAGTTGACTGTTTATGACTTTTTATTGTTTGTGTGTATATTTTCTCATGAACTGGTGACCAACGACATGAGCGTAGTAAGAAAATGAAGCCAAAAAATCCACCTACAGATTACTATTCACACACATGACACATAAACACTCTTTTCCTGCGGTTTCCATTGAGCAAGGTTTGCACCAAATCACTAATATAATCACTCTTTTCCCATCTTTAGAATCACTCTGAACAAATTCCTCACTGAATCATCCAAATCTAAATCCCTTTTCCCTTCTGTGTGTTCCTGTCTCAAAGCTCACGTCATGGTAGATTAGCACAGAGGTTACGCTCCCTGTACGCGCCGCGTGAAGACTTCCCTTTGATTTTAGATGCGAAACCTCAGTGGATTTCAATTGAATTTCAAGCTGAGAAGGTGGAGAAGCAGCTGGAATGCTACTTAGCCACTAACGCTGTGGCTCCCAGGCCGCTAACGCAAAGGGTGTACGATAATGAGAGATGTGAGACTGCGGCTGTCTTCATATTTCATGGTTTTAATTGTTTGTCTTCATCTGGACAACGTTCAAAATGACTTGCCTCTCTGAGATAAAAAAAAAATTGGTAGGCTGGTGAGTTGTTGAGTGAGCTCAGGAGTCCCTTTTAGATTTTGTTCGCATGTGAGGAAAATAAATGTTAGAAGAAATGTGTCCTGTGAATTTCATTAAAGCCTAATGAATTCAGTGGATGCATTTTTCACCTCACTGAAAACAGTTATCTCCGTGGCTTGAATCCCTTGAACTTCTCTTGTATAATTACAGTAGACTTTGTAGCATTTTTTAGGAAATACAAAGCATAAGGAGTTGAAAGTTGAGAGCAGGCTGTTAATATCCTTGTTGCTTCACTGGAAGTGCTTACTGGAAGACCATGGCTATATTGGAGGACTCCCAGTTTGTGTATGTATAACTGGTGCTCGGTTGGCTACCCAACACTTAAAAAATGACTAGTTAAGTCCACATGAAATAGAAACTAGAGTGTTATTTGCTTCCTCATATTTATGTGTTTCCTGTAAAAACACGCAGCTAGGGAGCGACTATCGCTGAATTGCCGGGTTGGCTCCTGGCACCATGGGGCTGAGGCTGCTAACGTTAGCTGCAAGGCTAGACAGGGCTGAACCTGTCGTCAAACCGGCCTCTGTCTGGCTGTTTGGTCCCAGTTTGGTTATGTCAAACCCTAGCAGCAGCTATAGCAATATCTGAGGCAGAGCAGCTGGAGGACATCCAAGGGAAAACCAGAAAATATTTTCTCTATAAATTTGTGTTTTTGTACTGAAATCAGTGAGTCTGAAACACTCTGCTCGGTGCTTATATGTCTTAACTCTACGCTGCTTAAAGCTGAAGATTGGTTAATAGGTGGATGTCGTAATATTATTGATTTAAATAGGTTGGTTTGCTTGGTTCACACACGTCACATTTTGATTTACAGGAATAAAAAAGGATTAGATTTTGATATAAGAATTAAAAGAAATAGATTATTTTTGTCATTTTTTGGCAAACATTGTTACATAGCTGCACAAACATGAACAAGGATGTGATCTAAGGAAAGAGGGGGGGGGGGTAAAAAATGCATTTTCATTAAAACGTTTTTAAGAAGTCAGAGGAACCTACTAATGCTGTGTTCACCTCATATTTTACAAACCGTTATTATTACCAGCCTATTCATGTAAGTTATTTCCCATAATGCAACCAATAGCTTCTTTTCGTTAGACCCTCCCTGCTTGGTAAATCTTTTAAACCCCACACCTCCAGTTTGTTAACCAGGTCTGTTCAAATCTTCAAGCCAGAGCTACAAAATACAATTTGGTGGAGTGTCCCTGTAAGACTAATACATTCATGTTAGTCAATTAAAATGTATGTAGTTTAATTAGCTGATGAACCACTACAAATATCTAACACAATAAAAATAACTAATTTAAGCTTAATTTCTCTTCATCTGGCATCACCACAAGGTTAGCAAAGGGATAACATCTTGGAATACTGTGTGAGCGCTTCCAAAATCGGAGAAACAGGCGGTTTTCCCAATCCTCCCATTCTGCTCACATTTTGAGAATGCTCAGCACAGTTTAAAAAACACCCTTTCCAAGAAACCCACACAATGAGAAATCTGATAAAGATTTACCTTTGTTTGGTATGACGCTTAGATTGGCTGCGCAGTCTCCTAAACACATTCAGCCTTTTGGTACAGTCAGGTGACTGATATTTTGTACATTTAACGTGCAGTGCATTATAGCAGATGTAATAAATATTTGATACATATGAAACTCTTTGTGACCTTTTCGCCACCTACAGTCAGTTTATCAAAGAGTTTTCTTGCCAAAAAGTCAGTTGATTCTTAAGTAGGGAATACAAAATTTCAAGCTGTTGGTCTTTAAGCCCAGGGCTGTTGAAGGGAGTGTTGTAAAGTCATTTAGAGTACCATGACCTCTGCTTAAGTCCTCCACACACAGACACACAAGCTTAGCTGATCTAGCTACCCTTCAACACAAGACCAGACCTGTTATCGCACATAGTTACTGTGACATCTGTGCGTGTGGGCAGCCTGTGGAGTACGATGATGAAATGACCACTGTCACATCTGATAGAAGTCACAGTTACGCTGATGTGAATAACATCTCATTCTCTATAGGTGGTTTCCTTTGCCTCAGTGCAAAGTGTTTGAAGTAAAGAGAGGCAGAACTGGCTCAGAGTTAAACTGAGAGACTTCAATTATTGTAATTTGTTTTGACCAAGTCCCAGCAATACTGATTTTCCTCAGAAATGCAATGGGGCTAGAAAGACACACCTTCCCTGGCTGTCTTTTCTGCTCAGTTAGTTCAGCATTTATGTAACTTGGAAATGTCTGGGGATGAGGGGAGCTTTGACCTTCCTGGGTGTGGGTACGAGGTGGGGCTGGCACTTTTGGGAGAGTCTGATTGGTTCCAGTGTTCTCACATCAACACAATTTTCTCTTCAGCTATGACTCGGGGAACAAAATGTGTCATTGGTCCATGTTGGGTGGGTCCCCACATCATAAAATTACCAGAAAGTTTTAACAAGCCTGGCTCAGGTACAAAACTAAATTCTTCTTAACTAAGCTTTGGGCTATATATGTATTCAAATGAATCTTCAAAATACAATGAAATATTTGTGTAAACAAAGTAAAAAGTTAATGTTTTACTTTTAATTCAGATATGTCTTAAATATGTCTGAAACTACTGGACACCAATTAGCATGTGTTGGGTTAAAGTAAGAAGGAGGGAGACGCCATGATGTTTCTAGTGGACACGAAGTAGCTTCATATTACCTCTCACTTTTAAAGTAAGAATTTTGGTTCCACTAGACTAGCCAGACCAGCTAGCTCAGCTTAATCTGGCACATCACATCCCCATTATGTGCCGTAACTTGACATTTTAACCTATGAAATGTCCATGGCTAGTCTTTCCCCCCCCGTTTCCAGTCTTTATGCTAAGCTAAGCGAACCGACTGCTGGCTCTAGCTTCATATTTAGTAACCAGACGTGAGAGTGGTATCAAATTTCTCATCTAACTATTGGCAAAAAAGCAAATAGGTGTTTCCCCGAAATGTCAAACTGTTCCTTTTACTAAAACCCTACAGGCTGAAGCAGCTGCAGTAGTGGTAGAGGACAGATGCATGATGTTGGATCTATGTTTGCTCCCATTGCAGGTAAAAAACGGAGGTAGCAGTATACATCCAGCTTTGGATCCCAGTGAGTCTGCATTTACAGTCTGTGGCGGAGAAACCGCAGCCTGTTGAACCTCGCTGCACTGAGTGAAAACTAGAGCAGAGATGATGATATAGTGTGTATATGTGTGTAGCCTACGACAAGCCTTTAAATCTGTGAGAGTGTGATGGCTTAAGAATAGCAAGAGTGTGTTGATGTGTGTTTTGGGTCCTCAAGCAATTATGTCACTAGGTTTTTGTGTTATTTGTAGAATATAGCACATTTTTGAGGCTTAGCATTTACTGTTTATGTCTGCGCGGATATTTCTGTACGCGACCTTCTAATTGTACTCGACATGCCCCTATTTATTCATTTTCCTCTTCTCACTCTGTGCGTCCGTCGACAAACTGACTCTGCAGGCTCTTTGCTGTGGGAGCAAAACCTCCAGCTGAGACAGGAACCGAATCCCCGGAGAGCACATTATCATTATGGCGCATATTGCACTTAAAAGCATAGGAGGGAGCACATTTGTTGGTTTTTGTCATTTCACGCCGTCAGAAGTGGTCGCAGAACGTCTCTAAGTTTGCTGCCACCGAAAAAAAAATCATGGGCTTTTGCTTCGGACTGATGATAACAGGGGTTTATTTAGGGAAACTGGAAGCCACAAAACCTATTAGACCTTAAGTATAAATCACATGTGATCGTTTTAAAGGCTTCTATGGTTGACCTCCGCGCAGTGTCTGAGAAGAGGATATCCGCTCACACTCACTACTGTATATTTACACTGAACCCTGTTTGTAAATATGCACTTTGATACTATTTGTGGAAAATGCATCATGAATGTGAAACAAAACCACAGAAGAAGTATTATAAAGGTCAAAAAAGACGATGCTGTCCACAGGAAAATATTTAAAAAATCTAACAGAACAGTGATTTCTTCTGATGAACAGGATGAACGCTTGTCTCTCTTTTCCTTTGACAATGTTATGATCCTGTGTTTGTGTGTGTGTGTGTGTGTGTTTGTATCCCACAGTGGAGTACGACAGGGAGCTCTCTGCACAGCGGCGTCACCACAAGGAATTTAAGTTCAACCTCTCACAGATCCCAGAGGGCGAGGCCGTCACCGCAGCGGAGTTTCGCCTCTACAAGGAGTGTGTGAGCCGCGCCTTCCGCAATGACACCTTTCTACTCAAAGTCTATCAGGTGGTCAAGGAGCACCCTGACAGGTAACACACACACACACATACTGACAGTGCTTCATTGAAGCTTAATAATGCTTACATTACTCGCACTTTACTCGATTTAATTTATTAGACTTAAGACAGCATTATTTTTATTAATTTTATTTAACATGTTGTTAGACTGTATCAAACATAAAAAAATGACACATATACACATATACAAGTGAAATACAGTATTATATTGTGCACAATTCCATTTCTTTATCCTTTTTCTTTTCAAATAGTAGAATTTTTTTTGGAAGTTTAAAGTTTATTCCGTATTTTTACTCATTCTCATCACCCTGGCTTTCTCAAAGGAACTGGCTAATTCATATAATTAGTATGTGAATAGCCCACTCAGTCCTTTTGCATCAAAACATTACACCAATCAATTGATGAATTAAAAAAAAAAAAAACCCAATTAAACATTTTATTAAATTCATTTTACATCAGTGAGATGGCACATTGAACAAGATGACAGTCCTGTTGTCCTCCTGGGAATAAAAATCCTTGTTTCATAGACAAATTATATAAAAAATAATTCTCTGTACATTCATACTCATTAATATCATTTAAAATGTACACAGTTTTGATTTTCATGTTGATTTTATTTTTTTATTGAGTTTAAACATAAACAGCACAACACACAATACTCAAATATCCCAGACAGCCATACAACATAGCCCATAAAGGGAAAAAAAAATCAAAAATATATTGTTATTGTACAGTGTCTTTGAGTATTCAGAAAAGCGCTCTTTTAAATAAAATGTATTATTAAATCATCATTTTAAGGGTCTCGGGCATGTAATGTCTACT